GATAAAAGTCTACATAGTTGATTTCAAATCGAATGGAACATTTATATCACATTGAAGAAGGCAAAGTTAAGATTTGAAGAATTAATGAAAAGTCAAGTCGAAAGAAGGAAATTGAGCAAAAATCGAAAGCTTTCTTCAAAATTTCATGATGCAGATTACCAAAATCAAGCTAACGACTATAGATAAGCGCTTATTGGGAGGCAACCCAATTTTCTTCACTTTTATTTATTTTTACTTTCCAGAATACATGATTAGTAAATATTATGCCTTCTATTAATTTAGTAATTGTTATTCCTTTTAAGAGTATATGGTATCTTCATCCCTATATTTCCCTTTATGATGTATTAGAGCTTATTTCAAATTATTCCATGTTATGATTGGATTTTTATTTTTATTTTTATTATTATTATTTTTAATTTGAAGGAATATGACACATGAACACATTCGACATGGGAAAATACATAGCAAGTGATCGAACATTCTCATGCCAATCTATCCACCACTTAGGGTTATACCGGGGAATATTTAGTTCATTTCTTCGTCCTTAATTTTTAGATATTGCTTATTATAATTTTAGACGTGGGGACAATGTTTGTTATAAGTTTGAGGTGAAAAAATATCAAGTTTTATCTGTTTTTACTCTTTTGTACGCTTGTTTGAGTGTCCAAAAAAAAAAATCAGCTTTATTTTTGTTTTTGAGTACTTGTGTGAGATAGATAATTTTTTCTACAATGATGCGTATAGTTGAAATCATATGTTAGACTAAAAACTGTGGAAAAGTTACACGTTGAGTTGATTTATGCTTATTCATATGAGACTTGATACTTTTGAGCACAAGATTTATGTTTTACATCATGAAGTGATACTTTGATTCAAAATTTGAATAGGTTGAAAAAAAAAAAAATTAGTGGGCCTTAGATGCTAAATTCAAATAACCACTAAATTATACATCCTTAACCCAATTCAATGATTGTTTGGGGTGATTGAGACGTTGTAGGGAGACATTGAAATAAATATGGGTTCCATATTTGTTAAATTTTGTGTGGATTGCCTAAATCCAATCAGATAAAAATTAAGTTAAAATCTTAACTTAAGATTCGATTTTTTAAAATAAGTGTTTAATAAGATATATTAGACTAATTATTGCATAAAAAAAAAGAAAAAAAAGTCTAAATGTGAAACGTCTCTTCGTAACCTTTATGACTCACGTGATTAAGTCTGCAAAGTTATCTAAAACTCGGTGCCCTAAAGTCATCTAACTCGAGAATCGTTGGGCAAAATCTCACTAAGGGTCATTTAAAAAGTTTAGGGAAAAGAAGTCCACACATCAGATAAAAAAATAGAGAAAGAAGGTGCATGAAATAAAAGACTTGCTACATGCCTTGATTGAGCTAAAAAAAAATCCTCGTTTATTGACGTGTTAAGCTGCAATTAATAAGATTTAACCATACTAAAAATTGTATTGATCGATACTATATCAAAGTTCAACATTAGATTACACCTTGAGAAAATAGTTAAAAAGAATAATTTTGGGTATATGAATCTTACGAGTGAAGAAATAAAATATTTGACTATCGAAGGTCGGGACTTTGAATCGCTTTATAAACTAATGGTGTCTAACATGAATTTTTAAAAATAGACGTCGATTTTGTATTGGATAAGCAAAATTTAATTTGATAATGTGATTTTAAAGCAGATTATAGTTATAATATGGAAATTTCAATTTTTAGACCAGCATCAAATTATCTAACCATATTTGTTTAAATTTTTTGTTTAAGTCAAAATATAATTAATTTTGATGATTTTATGACTTAATTAGATATTAACTTTGTTTGCTAGATAAAACTCGAGGCGAATTGAGTGAATTGGAAGAAAGAAGCGAAAAACGGGTGAAAAATGAAAAAAAAAAATACAAAGTTGGAGACCAAATTGTAAATATTAAATAGTTGATTTGGACCACAAAACCATAATTGAATATTAATACGAGTCAATTGGATGCAATTAGAAGTTAAAAATGAAAGAAATACAAGCAAAGATTTTCACAAAGCAATTTTCGACAGAGCAAGTCATGTTACGTAATATTAGTTGGAGATTGAGATCTATTTTTGACATGGTAAACTTTCGAATTGAAAAAACTATACTTCTGTAATAATTATAGCCTTTTAAGTTATCCTTTTAACTCACTTTAAATCAACTCAATTTGATATAAAAAAAGTTATGACAAAAATATTGACGGCTACGCAAAGACATAATCATGTGCAATCAAAGGCAACATTTCTTATTTGATTGAAACTCTTTTGAAACCCGAGTTGAATGTATTTTTGACCTAATTTCACTTTATATAATACAAGACACGGGAAGCCATTGGAATATCTCTCTCTCACCTCTCAAATCACTTTCATAACCTAAAATTAGTCAAAAGCGAAAGGCAAATTTGTTATAAGTTGAAGAGGAAAACAAATTTAGTACATAGATTGAATCAAGAAACATAAAAAATATAAAGAATCAAATCTAGGGGTGGATAATCAAGAACAAGAATTAAGTCGTAACATCTCTTTCTTGTATTTATAAAATTTGGGTGACTTTTTTATTCTTCTTATTTTTTTATCATTAAAAACATGTTTAGTTGGATACTTTGTATTGGATGAAAATGAATGAGATTGTTAATTTATTTTAATTCAAATTAGCACTTTTTGTTACTTTTGTCTTTGGACGTAGACCTTCCTTTTGACTTTTCCTTACTTATTCTATTTTCAAAATTATTTTCTTTTCTTCTGTTCTACGACTTACAAACATATTTTCTTCTCTGAAGTGAGACTTAATCCTCTTTTCTAACTTCTAACTCCTAAGATTTTAATGGATCTATAACTATAGCTTGTGTCAAATTATCCTTTGAGTATTTTATGGCATTCTTGGTATCTTTATAAGACTCGAGCAATGATTTTCAGTAAGATGATAGCAAGGTCTTCATCTTCAAACTTTTTTTTCCTTTATGTGCAAGGCTCTTAACAACGATAATAAAATCACTTAGGTTTGCTTCCAAATGTTTTCCAATATCCATTTTGAAAATAAATAGTTTTTCCAAAAGATAGATTTAATTTGGTAGAGTCTTGGTCAAGAACAAATTATCAAGTTCTATCTACAAAGTTCTTGCAGTTTTGGCTTCATTAACTTGTCTTACAATATCGTTAAATAAATGCAAAATTATAGAAATATATGCAATTTCATTCATATTCTCAATTTCATCTAGTTTTGCTTTAAGTTTATTAGAAAAAATTCTAGTATCATCCAGGGCTTTGTAACCCTTTATTGGACCTGAATGGCCCTCGTTTTCTGCTTTCATATGGAGTAATCCCACTTTCCATCGTATTGTGATAATTTGACCCTCAAATCCATTGCAGGTTCCTTAAAAGGGTGGCCATTACTCATGGACATAAACGATCTTTAATTTAAGATCATCTAATAGCAGAAAAGGTTTTGAAAAAAGAAATTTGTATAGCCTTTTGAAAAACAGATACAAGAAATGATTAATGCATGTTCATACTTAATCAAGAACTTATCAATTACAGTAATAGTAATAATGAGTAATATGATATTTCTTCAACTATCAAGTAATTATGCCATCTATACCGGCTTCTTGGAATATAAAGCATGCTCATAAATCATGCCAATCATCAATGAAGTACAAGATTTAAAGTGCATACAAAATCAATTTATAGGTATGCTTGCTTTGCACAAAAGGATAGTATAATGTAAAAGGATTATTACCAGAAATTTAGAATGATCCCACCAAATATTGTTATAAACAATATCCAATTCTGGAACCCTTTTTAGAGGCCAACCTTCTAATTCAGGCAGCCAAGGTTATGGGATAGGGACTTTTTGCCTTCAATCTTACCCTCACAAGTTCAAGATACCCAAATAAAGTTATGTGTCTGTTCACATAAGATTTGAGAAAGACTGACAATTTTTGGAAAAAAAAAATTAAAATTACCTAGTTCGACAATATGCCTAATCTGATACCAAATTGTTGGGTATTTTGTAACAAACCAAAGTAATAATACTAAAGTAAATGATCAAGCACATAGAAAACAATAAATAACACAGGATTATTCACACAGTTCATCAATATGCCCAATCTAGGAGATCAGAGATCAGCCCACAACCATGTGCAACAATGATGTCCAATAGAGAGTATAACTTTCCAAAAAATCCAAATATAACTTTCCAAAAAATCCAAATTTGAACTAGATATGATCCTTGATCCAAGAGGATCTTCCAAATCTCAATCCTAATCAACACATACACCAGAATCACAACCTGACCACTATACAAGTTTTCTGGCCGTTATCATAAGGAAAATATTACTGCAGCAGGACTATTTTCATAAGCTTTCAGTAAAAAATATCAGGATCCCATGAGAGATCGAACCAACAAAATCATGAAGGAAAAGAGAAAAATCAAAGACTTAAGAGAGAAATTCTCTAATATACAAAACTCAAAATTCCAAAGAATGAGTCAAATCGTCATAGCCAAAAGTCAATAAAAACGAAAAGGTTAATCTCATCTCAACCATTGACTGAAACGGATGGTCCAAATTTCTTCTCAATTAGCACAACTTGAGTGAAGGTCAAGCAGTGAGTTGGTGGTTGCCAAGTAGCCATCCACATCCAACTAAGCCAAAAGTGAAGAAAGACCAACATATCCTTCATAAATTATGTATTTGAGAAACACGCTTTTCACATATCTATCGAATAAAGCCCTTAAATGCTCAACAATGTCTGAATCTATTTATTTAAAATTCATCTTTCCTCAATTTTTTTTTTTAATTTTTGGAAAATCACTTTGAAAAGATAGAAATTACCGAAGTACTGAAAAGGAAATTACTTTTTTGCAAAATGATATCAAAACACCAGCAGTGCTATTCTCTCTCCACGCACTAGCTCAGACACAACGTAGCCATAGTAGACCGAACCTAGATAGAGACAAAAATAGAGTCGAAAATGTTAAGGGAAAAAAAAAAAAAAACAACAATGACAGTGCACAACAGGACACACCTCACCGCCATTCGCAAACCACTCCAACTGTCCCGGACCCCTTAAGACCCGACCCATTTCCTGTTTTCGGCTCCTCTATCACACCCTACAAAAGTTTTTCAAGACAAAAATCAATTGGAGATTGAAAAATGTATTCTGCTATGCCCATACACAGTTTGGCATTGGATGGGAGTGGAAGGGAGTATCCATTTGATGGCGCCAACTTGGTTGGGGATCCATGTGTAGTTCTCACGACGGATCCGAAGCCCCGACTCCGGTGGACTTCGGAGCTTCATGAAAGATTTGTTGATGCTGTCACTCAGCTTGGTGGACCGGACAGTCAGTTCCCGTTTCTTTTTTCCCTTGTATTATTATCTATACATTTATGTGGACATGTCTATTTAATTTGTATGTGTGTTGACTTTTTTTATTTTTATTCATAAAAATACAAGCATAATAAGAAAAACTGTAGGAAATTCTACTGTTGGAGATGAAAAAAGTTGTTTGACTAAAAATATTATTGGAGTACTTGAAAATATATATCAAAATTATGTTAGAATGTGTTTGCCAGTGTATCTTTTCAAATTATTGTAGGGGTTTCCTTTGTATGTTATGCTAACTGCTAAGGAAGATTTACATTGCTTTGGAGTTTGCTCAATAAGCAATTCATATTTCATGTTCAGGATTGTATATTGTATTGACAGTGGAAATATGGTTGAAATCAAAACTTTCAAACTGGCATTTGACTTTGGTGTATTCTGGTGCGGAGTTTTCAGTTACGGAAAAAACACAAGGCAGTGGATTTAAAGATTTACGAGCAAATAATATGAAAAAAAGAAGAAGAAATTTCTGAATTCTTGATCTGTGGAGAATACAAGACCTCAAAAAGAGTTCTCTAAAAAGTTCTCTTTTTCTTCTTGTTGAAACTTCTACTTAAATATGATTTCTTCAACGATTCAAAAGTCCATCCTTTCGAGCCACCTTAGCTTGTATCGTAATTTAGTTGTAATAAGTTATCCACCTTAGTTGTGGGTTTAAAGAAAAATTCCTATTAGAATTTATTGATTGACAAAACTTGAATTGAACTCTATAAAGGAGAAGAACAAACTCCATAGAAGGAGAACAAAATACACTCCGTAACAGGAGGAAATGAATCTCTGTTAAAGGAGGAAGGATCACTCGAAACCTCCACGGAAGTAGAGATTTGAAAACTACAATCCAATGATTTTTCAATTAATACAATGCCCTATTTATAGGGAAAATGGTAGACTAATTAACTAACTAATTATCTAACAACTATACATGCTGGAAGGATCTGGAATCTGCAGAGCTGGAGATGGAATATTCTGGTGCACACGTGATGCTGGAAGGCTGAATCTGCTGATATTTGGTGCATGTGTATTCCAACAATTCTAATTCAAATCTAGTAATTGTGTTAATAGTTGTGGTGAAGGATTCAGTTCTGCTGAGAGTTAAAGCTGTGGTCCTAAATGAAGCAAGACTTCTAACTGGTTTTGCAATGCTTTAAATTCAAGGCTACCTTTATTTTGCATTATTGCTACACTGTGGAGATCCAAGACCATGATGGCAAAGCAATTATTTGCCAGACCTTATTCTTAACTTCATATTGTTACTGAGCTTTCTCATAACCAGTTAACATAAATAAATCATCTTTAGTCTTTGCTACTAGGCCCACTCAAACTTCTTGCACGAATCATGTGACATTTATTATCATCTGCTCATTAAGAGAAATGGCACGGCTCGGCCAAAAGAGTCCTGTAGATCTCACTATGCAGACGTGCTGTAGAATTGGTGCTGAGGATACACAGTTTGAATGCAATCACAAATATCTGCCACATAGAACCTTATGAAAAAAAAAAAAATGATGCATGGAATTTACATTTATGTTTAGAACCAAGGAAAAAGGAAAAAAAAAATGAAGGGAAAATTTTTGTTATGTAAAAGTTTCCTAACCGAAGGCGAATTTCCTTTTGGTTCTCCCCAAGAAATATCCTCCTTTTTTGGACTTTCTGACAGCCAGAAACTGGAAATGTGTAAGAGGGCAATAAATTGTACTATGATTATTCGAGGGAAATCAGGTGTGAAATGGCATACGAGATTTATTACCCTTTTCATTTACCCAAGTTCTGTTCACATTTTCTGAGCCGACATATATCGCTTAACAAATATGCTTCCCATTAACCTCTCCGGACTGCTTTAAATGAGGCTTACCTTTTTCTTGCCTTCTCTTGATTTTTTTGTTCGTTTAATAGCAATACATACATAGAATGTCCTGATTTACTTTATTTTTCACTATTGTCGGATAGATTAGTTAATTTGATGCATCATTCCTGATTTGCCTTGCAGAAGCAACCCCAAAAATGATAATGAGAACAATGGGAGTGAAAGGTCTGACGTTGTACCACTTGAAGTCGCATCTTCAGGTATGCTGTTTCACGATACGTTTCTTATCCCTAACCCACCCGAAAATCCCTGTGGGCCAAGGAGATAAAAAAGTGCTTTTCCTTTTCTCTTTTTTGATTTTCTTGGAAGTGTAACTTGTTAATGTGCAAGGGTAGATAATCCAGTACATTACATTGCAGAAATACCGATTGGGAAAGCAAGCTAACAAGGAGTTAACTGACAACTCTAAAGATGGTACTAAGAAAAACTTCTTCGTCGCAATTCATACTTGACCATTTCACATTCTCTGCATGCCTAGTTTTTTGGTTTGACATTTTTCATACATTGAAACTATTAGAAATGCTAATCACTAAATCTAAGGTAATGATAGTACAGGAAAATCCTCCATTTATCAATTTTTAAATTTGTTATGTTTTGCTAATCCAACTGAGAAACTGTTGGGATCGAAGAGTACACAGCAGAAGTAAAACAGGATAGGTACTTATGTAGAATATGAGTCCACGGCTGAAATTTTCTGTCAAGTTCCAAATACTGAAGGTCTTCGAACGAATTCTACCGCCAAATTGACTTGGGTGTGTGGAATTCACTTTTTTGAATCTCATGCTCTTTATCTAATGGAGATTTTTGGGAAAAATAATGAACAAACTACATTCCTATTTTTATTTTTACAGCCCCTGGCTGAAAGCCAAAATATGGGGGGAATAATTGCTTGAAGACATGAATTAAAGTCTTTCCTCACTACTTGGTCAATTACAAGAGCTTCAGTTAGCTTTTCCAAATTTGAGTTAAAAAAATATCTATTTGAAATATGGGGTATCAGAATGCTGACCACCCTGCACTATTTGGCCCTATGATATATAGATGGAATTAGGATTAGATTAGTTAAACACAGCTAATGTTTCCAGTGACTAAGTAGAGTTTTAACCCAACTCTCATCTCTACTAATTTGAGGGCATCTCCAATGTATTTTATGGATTGGTATCTAGGTGGCATAGAAGTTGAAAGACTTCCGGTCTATGCATTGATGTCTGTTGAATAGACACACTGGTCTAAAATTGTTCTCTAATGTATTATATCTAAAATTCAGTAATGTTGTTTAGCTGTCTCCTATTTTCTTAAAGTAAAAACTAGATCTTATCTAAATCTGAACAGGAAATATAAATGTTGATGAGTCGGTATGTGTAACAGAGTTCCTAAATCTGAACGTAGCTCCAGACAATGTGTGTTATGCTTTTCGCCGCATCAACTTGATGGAGTCCCTGTGAGATCGCATTGAAGAGAATTTTTTTACATTGTGCAGTTCTTTTCCCCATTGAAGCATTGGAGATGCTCTAATAAGATTACAATTAGTCCTATTGAAGCTATTTTCAAACTCTAATTACTAACAACTAATAGGGATTAGGCTTAGTCCTTGTTTGATACAGATTCTTTAAAATTCATTTTCCTCTAACTCATTCCCACCCACAACTTCTCCCAATAAAATAATTTTGCACGTGAATCCATAACTTTTCTACTTTTTAACTGTTCATTTTTTTCAAAAAATCATTTTTCACAAAATCTATTCTTAAAAAGATCTATATCAAACGGGTCCTTAGATTTTAATGTGCGTAATCTGTCCACCATATAGATTTTAATGTGCGTAATCTGTCCACCACACTTGTAATCTATTTTTATCTATTTTTTTATTTTATTTAAAAAAAAAAAGATCAGATTTTAAAATATTTTGAACTCTTATATTTTATACCACATGTTAAAACTCCATAGGACATGTTTAGTTCCCATTCTAAATAGAAGTTTCAAAACCAGTATGTCCGACCGAAAATGTTACTGTATGTTGAAGATAAATCACCTCATCTTATAGATGTCGATACATTACAATCTAGTAGGGGACTCACTGCTAACCTTGAACTAGTATTAAGGTACAAGAAATACCCATGTAATGCAACATTTAAATTTTATTCAAGTCGCAGACACAGTTTTAAATTAATTAGGATTTACATTTGTTTTTCGTTATTTTAATTTTCTATTTGAGACAATTTTATTTTTTATGTTGTTTCTTACAAAAATTAGTCAGGGTTGATCCTTATATGATGAGGGTAATGCTTTGATTTGAAGACCACATTATTCTTGAATATTAATAGTTTCAAATTCTTCTCTCTTGGCTCACTCTGGCTTCTCATCTTTCTTCCTTTTCTTCTCTCTTTCTTATTGTATTTGGGCTGTGGGCCCTTGGCCCATTTATTCCTTTTCTTATAAAATTTTTTTCCAGACTCGTGGGAAATTAAAGCAAAAATTGATGGCCTTTTTTGCAACTATTGGAATGGTCCATTTACAACAGCATCATAGAGCAATTGTTTGAAGGCAGATAATACACATCCTTATTTGGGAAGAAAGGGTTTAACTCTTTTATTTGGGTCTTCTTCTTCAAGCCTTGCCTACCACCATTTATTTGTCTTCTATAAGATTATTCTTAGAAGCTTGGTGAGATCTTACCTCTCTTGAGGTATTGTTGCTTTATTTTCCATCACGTTTTTATCGTAGCGAGCCAAGCATGTGTTCTTGATGTAGTGTGTTGGAATACCTCTTGATTTGGCCTTAAATCTATAGAGACTGTTGTCATCTTATTGTTTTGGCAATAATAGATTTTATTGATTTATTTTTCCTTTCTCTTGAAGGGTTCTACAAATTTAAATAATCATTTGGGTGTTGTCTTTTTGCTTACTTTATTATTTCGGTATTTTATATTGCTTGCATTGGTTATTGGTTGAATTGATTGTCTTCCTTTTTAAATCACCATCGAAGGAATATTTTATATTATTGTGCACATTGGTATGGCCTTGTTGCTATTGCGAACTTGAGTAACTTCTGGTCTCATAGATTGGGTATTGTGGTGCTTTGTTGGTTTGCTAATATTTTCCTACAATCAATTCTCACGTGGATCGTTCGCTTTGGTTGTTTGTTGATTGTGTTTGTCGTCACGATGATTTCTATATTCTATGTATGAGCCAATCTTCATACACCCAAATTATGTACAGTTAAACTCGAGGGGTAACTGCTAATATAATCTATGGTAACAAATTACGTGCTCTTAATGTATACAAATGCTGAATCAAATTCAAACTCGGTCTATTATAACAAATTTAATGACTATTTTAAGGGCTTATTCCTAACAAAAATGTTGACCACAAAATTTTGGGAATTTAACCCCTCAAAATAATGGCCATTTCCATATTTATCCATTCTGTTTTTGTTGTAGATGTTGCATATATTGATTTTAATAATTATATATATATTTTTCTCTTATCAGCCTTCCCATTCATATTAGGTTTTCCTCCTATCAAGGTAGGTTTAGGGATATTGTAGATTTCGACAATTAGCATGCGGCGTTAAGGGTTGATATCATTTCACTGGTCATCTTTGGTGCCTTTAACCCTTTATTTGGGGGGAATCCATTCTCGAGGGGACAAGATGTTGATCAGGATATTCTGGATTTTGTTTTAGAAAAGAGATTTTTTAGTTTTGTATGGATTAGATGGACAAGTGGATGCCTTATATTTTTTTTTTTTTTCCGCTTTTTCAATTTTTATCAATGGTATACTAACAGGTAAAATTAAGACCTTTGGAGGATTTTGTAAGATGATCCAATTTGATACTTTTTTATTTTTTATTTTTATTTATTTTTTTTAAAGGGATCAATTGAGTTTTCCTCAATCATTTTTTTTTACTTTAAGATATTCCACTTTTACTAGCCAAAATTTGTCTAAGACTGTAATTGTGGAAACTAATGTTGATTCTAGCTGCCTCCAAAAAGTGATTAAAGGTTGATTGTTCTATAAGGAAGTGAGACTTTAGGAGGTAATCTGCTGTCTAATAGGTGTCTAAAAGTTGGAGGATTGGAAGGAAATCTTGTCTCTAAAGAGGGGGCCCATTTACTCTTTTTAGGTCAATATCCGGCAAGGTTTTTGTCCTTATGGAGAAACTTTTAAGGTCTATTTTTGGGGGTAATCAACATAACATTTGTTAGCTTGAGATTTGGACTATAAGTGGGTGGCTTAGGAGTGGGTTACCCATAAGCTTGGGAAGAAGAACAAAGAAAAATGGCTTTGAATATTTTTTTGTGGAACTATCTTCTTTATGGAGTAAGGTTGTGAGTTGCAATGGTCTGTAAACCTAATGGTTGGGGGTTCTGAAATAAGCATGAGAGATTCTGGTATAAATGGTTGGAAGTTTGTATCTTAGGGACTTTCTTTTATTCAGTTCACAAAATGGGATGTGGATACAGGTGATAAGGTTCTGTTCCTGGAGAAAATTGGGCTTAATTAAAGCACCATCACAGTCCCAATGTGTAGTGTGTTTTTGATAGGATGGAGGGGGTTAGAATTCCCTAACCATGATCTAAATGCATATAGATGAACACATTGGAGGGGCATATACCTACCCTCCAATAAGAGGAATACAAACTGTAAGCTGTAAATTAAGTACAACCTCCTGTGAAAATGTGAAAAAAGAAATAAAAGGCTAAATGTTTCCAAAAGTGGGAAGTCCATGCCTGTCAATTTGTACCGTGGCGCGAAGTCGTCGGGACAAACCAACGGGACCATACTTTTGATAGCAACATCGCTCACATCTCTCTGAAAACGTGAGTCAAAAACCTGATTTCTTCACAATAGATATGTGAAACAATGTCATGATCAAAGGAAACTAGGTGTTTGATGTGCCCGAGAGCAGCCTGGATAGACTACAGACTCCACCAAGTGTAATGCAATTAATGCAGCAGAAGAATCAGCTTCTATCCTTTAACCTGAGAAGAATGATTCCATTAAGAATGACCCTCAGTTCAGCCTCGAGTATAGGACATTCACTGTAGGATGAGAAGAATGCACGAATAAACCATCCAGAGTGATCCAGAATGATAACCCACCACTAGAAAAATCATCTCTGACCACCCATCGGTGTTTATCTTGTAAGATGCCAAATGTAGAGTGTGCCAAGAAACCATAATAGGAGGAGAGTTTGGGGTCGGGTTAAGAGATACCAAATAAAAGGGTGATATCCAAGTCTCCTCGCCAGTGCACAAACCGAAATAAACAGGCCGTGTGAAGAAAGGAGATAGTCCGATAGACCTACCATTTATCCTCTGAGGCTCCATAGCTAAACCTTGGTGCTTTGCATCATTTATTGCAATCCATAAGAACCAAAAGATGAGCAAATGTTGTGGTTCTTCTTTTCCTCGAAACTAATATTCCATTTTTGCTTGAAAATGTACCTATTAATTTTGACTTTATAACTCTGTGAAGGTGGTACAATGAATTGAAATTTTTGAAATATGATGCAACTAACTTGAAGGATTGTGAAACTTTAGATTTGTCCTCTTTGTAGACAACTATTACGAATTTCACTTTGAAACCGTTTTGAATTGACTAAAGTTGTAGATGTTGAGTTCCTCAACTTTATTTATTCATTTTTGGGTTACTCATTCTTTCATGCTCTTGTTGATTTGCTGAACTCCCCGATTTTAGACCAATTCAAATTCATCTGGAAATAGTGTGCCCTATGAACAAGGGTTTTCCTGTAAAAGTTCTTGCTTGAAATAAAATGTCATATTCTTTGCCTTCTTTATACTACTAGTATTAGAGGATTTCTTTACCGCTTGACGATTGTAATTCTGTATTCTTAATGGATGAATGAAAACAGATCTTTCATCAATTAACAAGACAATATCGAGCCTTCTTTTTATTTATTTATTTATTTGGAGGAAATGAAAATGTTGGAATAAATGGTTCATGTGGCATGACAGTCTTCAAAATCTGATGGAAATGAGAATTTGGGAAATAAATGGTTAATTGGAAGAAAAAAACATTTGATCATATGGGTAACATGATGGCCATCTTTCAAATCATTCATAGCATTTCAAATTCTAATTCATCCATTTGGTGTTATTTTGGCTGCAGCATCTTGTGGTGCTGAGAGTCAGGATACTGGTTCATCTACATCAGCTTCATCGAGAATAATGTCACAAGATATAAATGAGTATACCATATCTTTTCTTTATCCAGAAGTTATATTTATTTTTATTTAATTTAAGGTTCTATTTGTATATTTATATCATATTTTCATCAGTGGTTACCAGGTTACTGAGGCTTTACGAGTACAGATGGAAGTTCAGAGAAGACTGCACGAGCAGCTGGAGGTTAGGATATCATCTGTCTATTTAACTGTTTGATTTTTTGCTATGCATGGACGCTTGTTTCCTATTTCTGTTTGATGATGTTTAGCTTTAGTGTCTAACATTATCTATATTTGGGCCTTTTAGTTCTTGGTGAAATGCAGCATATTTTGCTACGATTGAAGTAACTTACCTTACATTTACTTTTAAGTAACCTTTTGATTTTAAATGTGTATGGAAAGGTTATTGTGTGTGTGTGTTTTAATTTTTTATTTTTCCGGTTAATTTTTTTGAATGTAACTCAGGTCACTTTCAAAAATTTCCTACTTTGACCAACTCAAAGAAGATTATTTATTCTAAAACATACTTATTTTCTAGCGAATAACAGAGGCTGTTCTCCGTATGTTGCCACTTAAAACACCGGAAAGAATAAATTTCAAAAACCCGAAATTGAATATCTGATTTCAGTTGCATAGTTTTCATATGCTCCATTAGGTTTGAATTTTAGTACCCTGCTCTGATGTAAAAAGAGTCTTCTTCTTATAATACCATGAAAAGCAGGTGCAGCGTCATCTTCAGATCCGAATAGAAGCACAGGGAAAGTATCTGCAGTCAATTCTTGATAAAGCTTGTAAAGCTCTTAGAGTTGAGGACATGGGCTCTGCAGGGCTAGAAACTGCTAGGGAAGAATTCTCTAAACTCGCCATCAAAGTTGGTAGTGAATGTGACGGGATTACCTCGCTGCCTTCCAATGGCAAGGGCATGGTGTTGAATGGAAGTCTTGTTACCCTCGCACCACAGGCTGTTGCACTGAAAAAAAGACCACGGACTTTCTTTGGTAGTGGAGACCCATCGCCGTTTGAAGGCAATATGCAGGCAGCCGAGTGGACGACGGCGAATACTGGATGACTTTAGCAGACATTTCCTTTTTATTTGTGCGTTCGATTGAACTAAATGATTGAGCAATGTTGTAAACTGTAGTGTCAGTTGTTTGTATATTCTTGAAGTTGATTTACATGGGTCAAGAAACTTCAAAGTGATTTTCATTATTCTCTTGTATTTGCCATTTATAATGTAATTTAAACCTTCCTTTCAGCCCACATCCCTTCGCACATGAGCATCCTTTATTTTCATGTATAGTTTCAAGTGACGTCGAGACTCGAGTTCAAGTCTTTTTGCATGTTTTGATACATGTTCTTTTTCTGCAATTTTATTCTTTTGAGTTCGTTTTCTTTATATTCTCCCTTGATAGTTATTTATTTAAATAGCAAACAAAACAAAAAATAAAATAAAATAAAATAAAATACTTGGGACCGAAATTATGGAGAGTGAGATTCTACTTTGAAAGAGATAGAATTCTATCTTTACATCATGGCCTAATAAATATGTCTTATCTAAGATGCAGTTTATTGAAGATAAAATTATTGCATCCTATTTGGTTTAGGATAACTTGCGTTACTTTTCAGTTTTCAGCTTGTGATATTATCAGCCATGATCACTTATTTGGCAACGTCCACCACTATTCCGACCGACTGTGTTGCTCACTTGTCTAGCGAAAATGGGAAATGATGTGTGTACAGAACATACACATACAGTCCTCTCACAATCGTGGGTCCGCGATTATTTAATCGTGGATCCATCCTCTTGTATGCGAGAGGGTTGTAAATCATGATGTCAAAATTACTATACTTGTAGCATTACTCAACCAAAATTATCCTAAACAGCTTAAAATTCTCCTCAGTCTCGTTGTTTCATGTTCTTTTGCCAGCCATACAGCCTAGTGCTGCCCCAATTTCAGCCATGTACTAGTAATCTTGCAATCTCAGTAATGTCCCAATCAGCCCGGTTCTAGAGATGGCAATGGGTCGAGCTCGGCTCGGCTCTCGGTCCATGAGCTCGTGAGTTCACAAGCCACGAGCTCGCAAGATCAACGAGCCAAGCCTCACTCGGCTCGTTGGATTCGAGCCCCACTCAGCTCGTGCTCGAGCTCGTCAAACGAGCCAAGCAACTGAGCCGACGAGCCGCTCAGCACATTTGACATCCCTACCCGGTTCCATAATAGAAAGGGCAAAATTAACTTGTATTTCCCCCACCACCCTGATCCTGTTTTGCAGCTCTATCGGATCAATTATCCCCCACCTCTACCATGTCAATACTGATCTAAATAATCTCTCTCCATTCTTCATATGATGGTTACGACATCATCATGATTGGAGGAACTCTCTTGTCCATTTGTGCATATCGGATGTGCTAGTCTCTCTTCAAAGTCTCACACATATAAATTGTCTAAAGTTCTCCATGTTCGAGAATTTTTATTTATAAAATTGAATTCCATCCCCATAATATGTACAATCTAATAAAGTTTACAATCAAATTACGAGATACACTCCGCGAACGTGATTCTTTGCTTGTGAGGCATAAAAGATGATGAGTAAAAACTGATACGGTAACAAAATCAGTTATGAGCTAGCCAATACAAGACCAT